CAGGTTGAGCTGTTGTTCAGCATCTTAGCTGCAGAGGGCAGTGTCACTGGCCCTCATATGTGGGATCCGAACTGGGGCCCTCTGGTGTCCCAAGCTAGCTCTTAACCATCGTGCCACTTGGCTGGCCCCTTTTGTAACTATTATTGATTTTTAAAAATTGTTCAGTATGGTTTTGACATCATTAGGGATCTTTTAGCTTTCTTGTTTTAAAAATTAAAGTTTATTGGGATGACAATTGTTAGCAAAGTTACATAGGTTTCAGGTGTACAATTTAGTAATACATCATCTATATATCACATTGTGTGTTCACCCCCCAGACTCAGTTCTCTTTTCATCACCATATATTTGATCCCTTTTGCCCTCATCTACCACCACCCTCCCCCACTACCCTGTGGTAGTTTAACTTCCCTTTTTAATGTGACTTATTTGTTTAGTTTCCTTGGGATTGTACTTAGTTGCACATCAATTACTGGGGCCGAGTAGGGTTATATTTTATTTTAAAGAATCTTCAGTTTGAAATGATAACATCTTCACCGTCTTGCCTCGTTTTTCAGTTTTGCATTTTGACTCAAAGGAGAGACATCTGTGACTATAGGAAGAACTCCGACTCTCAATGTTTTAGAAATCACATCAAACTATTTATGAATAATTAAATATCAAAAGTCCAAAGTAAACATACAACCTTTTGTATATTGAAGTCATTGAGTCTCTTTCATTTGGGCAGTAAGTGCTAAAGGTGAAGACTGTCACCTTGAACGATTCATCTGAGAATGTCCTTACACCGAGGTTACTTTACATTCAGGAAAATTTGCACATGTTCTTGTTTTACACGAGCCCTTACTTTGTCATGTTAGACTTTAATGAACGACTTACTGCCAGAAATTCCAGGCCATTCTATTATACTTTATGAAAGTGTATCTTATATTTCTTCTAGGGCAGAGGAAGAAAAATAACTTTATAGTTAAGGGATTCTAAATGTGATCTTAATGCTTAACATAAAGAGAACGTTGCATTCTGCAATTTGGAGCTGCAATTTGGACCTTGAATTATACATTTTAAGAATTACATTAATGTAGAAAATCTTATATTAAATTAGTTCCTTAATGGTTTAACATCTGTAGTCTTTGTCTTGAATTCTCAACTCTAAATACTTAATATCCTCCACTGCCACAATCTGAATTTTTAAATGACTTTGAAATTATAAATACATTATGATTATTGTGAAAAACAAAGAAAAGATAAAGAATAAAACAAAAATATATCCATAATTTCACAGCTGAGAGATAACTTCTGTACTCATTTGGATATTTCTGTCTTTTTTTCTTATTTAAAAAGGGTGTGTGTTTTTAATATACTTGAGACATATCTATATATTTATGTCTCCTAATATCCACTTTCCTCACTTTTTCATTATATCCTGAGCATTTCCCATATCATTAAATATCCTTTAAAAACAGACTTTAATGACCGGAATGCCTCCTTATGTTGCTGCTTTTGAGACTTCTGATACTCTTACAATATCCTCTAACAAAAGAAATTTATTAAAAATTTGTGGAATTTTGGTTATTAAAATTATACTTATGTAGTAGTCATAACTGGCACATGAATTTATGAACTGACTATGACAAATAATAAGTAAATAAATTAGGCTTCTGCTTATTAGTCTACCGTATTTGCCGGCGTATAAGACGACTCGGCGTATAAGACGACCCCCTAACATTTCCACTCAAAATACAGAGTTTGTTATGTGGTCGGCTGTGTGCGATTTTGCGAGTGTGGTAAAATCGCATAACAGCAAAATCGCATAACAGCCGAGCATACACCCAGCAGCGCTGCTGATGCCTGAACGGTATGTGGAATGAAGTGGGCGGGCATCGGGAGGCCACTATGGCACGGGGCAAGCACTATGGGCAGTCTATCTGAAGTGTACCTGGCGTATAAGACGACCCCCCACTTGGAGGCATATTTTTCAGGGCCAAAAAATCGTCTTATACGCCGGCAAATACGGTATTTAGGAAGTCATTTACTTTTTAGGTTATGTAATGGCTTTTGTCTTGGTCTGAAGTACTAGAACATAGGACTTTGGTAAATCTAGTTCTCTCATTTCTAACAGCCTGTATTTGTGATTGCTTGGTTATGGATGGTATTAAAGAGTTGAGTGTAGATTGGTATTATATTTTTACAGTTTAGTAGCTGTGTGACTTTGGGCAAATGACTCCTTACTGCACCTCCTTTTCAAGATTTAAAGACTCAATGAGATAATAAAGTACATAAACAGGCCTGGCCTATGGGCAGTATTGAATATTCTTGTTTTTTGTTGTTGTTGTTGTTTTTGGTTTTTTTTTTCATTGTCGTTGTGAGATCTTTGGTTACTGAGCAGACCAAACGTGACTAGCCTGAGTAGAGCTTGAAGAACATCAGAACTTTTCCCTACCCAGTCAATGAAGCCGGCCATGGGGAAACAAGCAAATAACACGTTTTAATTTGGGGCCAGCAGAAAGCTTGTTTGTTCCTTCCATCTTTGAGAAGCTTAGTCTCACAGACAACTTCAGACTCTGCAGTGAGGCAACTGCATACACGCATTTAAAAAGTTCACTGCTGTGTCTGCAGTGCTTGACAGTCCCAAAGAACTGACTTACGGCTTTCTGCTCATTATTCCCAAGCTAGATAGTTTCTATATAAATCCCAGTCTTGTTCTAATAAGTGATTAGGGATGGTAATAGTAATGGCTTCCATTTACTGAGCGCTGACTGAGTGACAGCTAAGAGCTTCTCATGCGTTATCGCATTTAGCCCTCATGACTACTCTGTGAGGCTGTTACTGTCACCCCTATTTTATCCAATAGATGAGGAAACGAAGGTTTATTGAGATTAAGTGTTACCTGATAAGAATTTGAACGCTGGTCTGACCCAGAATTTGAGCCTTTACCTTTACCTGTAGCCCTGCTGCCTTTGTTTCATAATTACTGTGTAGCCTCATTCATTCATTCACTCTACATTTGTTGAGCTCCTACTCTGTGCTGGTGCTGTTCTGAATGCTGGATTATAGCATGCAGACAAAAGTCCTGGCCCTCTTCAAGCTTACCTTCTATTATATTAAGTTACTCGTGTTCATTTCCCTCCTAGAATAAGTGTCCCTGTATGGTGATAACTGTGTCAATATTCCTCTTTAGTTTTAGGGATAGAACTGAAATTTTATTCAAGGCTAAGCATAATTTCTGGGGTTATGAAACAATTATTTCATAATAATTGTTTGTTATGAAATTGTTTCATAACAATTCATAATAATGTCACAATAAACAATGAGGGCGTGCCTCATTCTGTTCATCGGGCTATTTGTTTATTTCAGCACTGGCTTTTAGCCCTTTCAGACTTCTCAAATTGGAGGTGTTCTTTCTGGTACTTTAAGAAGTACTCAGAGGTTTATTATTTAGTTTATGATAGTGTTACTTTTTGATGTTTTAATTTCTTTGACTTCCTTAAATGTACTATATAGGTGTGTGGAATAGCATAAACATCCTCTTTCTTTAGAATACACCAAAAATACATCAGACAAAACTAATACAAGAAGCTTAATTACTTTATAGAATAAATGACAGTATTCTGATATAATTGAAAAAAATGCATGATATAGAAGGGAAGTCCAACTCTGAGGGAAAAAAGCGATACCTGTTTTTTTTTGTGATATCAAAGAATATTAAATCCTTCCCTACAAATGAATTATTATAATTTTAAAGAAGATGATATCATAAAGTGTTTGTGTTGAATGTCGCTTATTAGCCATGTAGAAGCTGACAATAAGTTTTAATATCCTTGGGTGCAGGCTACCGTGTTATATTCTTCACTTAAGAAATCATCAGTAAATACCATAAAGAATATGGTATTGCAATAAAGCAGTTGCTGTATTTTTTTTCATTGGAAATGCAGTTAAACCTTTTAGGTCCCATAAGGAGTAAATGGCTGATAATAGTCCTCATTTTTTAATGAGTCATTTGTCCAAGAGGGAAGATCTTGGGCAAACCAGCTGGCTCTTCATTTTAGATGTTGACATTGCTTCTCCTTGGGACCCTAACTGCTGGGCTGTGTGATAACCAGTGCCAACTCCATGAATATCTTTCATTTCTCTAGAAGGAGGTGTGGATTTGCAAGGCTACCAGCTGGATATGCAAATACTACCTGACGGCCCAAAGAGTGATGTGGACTTTTCAGAGATTCTTAATGCAATACAAGAAAGTAAGTTTCACTCAAATCTTAAATTCACCGTGAAAGGAGTAACTATTATAATACTTGGGAGGGGTACCAAAACTAGAAACCTTGGATGCCAAGCTTTAAAAAAATACAATGCTATCTTAAAAAGAGATACTGGGTAAAATAATTTTGAGAACAGAAGTGATGGTTAGTGAAATGTGGGTTTAATTTGTGAAACTGAACCACATAATTTTGGGGTCTTTGAAGAAGCCTGAGGAAAAACTGTAGTGAAAATTACAAATTCTGTAAATTTAATGTGCTATACTTTTTACTAAATTACTAGGTATTATAATTTTTGATATTACTTGATTAATCATAATGAAAGAAAAATCTTTACAAAGAATACTTTTCCTTTGCTCAAATGTAAGTAGCAGGAAGTCAGTGTTGATAAATAAGCCAAACTCAGGAATTTATTCTCCAAAAACGGTTATTTGGAATCATTGATGATGCGCTGTGACCTACAAGTGAACCCCTCTTCTAAGCATTTTGATTAATCAAGGTTTACTCTTCTTATACTACTTTATTTGTGTTTTCTAGTTTTCACTAAGACTTTTATCATAATCAATACATTTATTCAAGTTACAGATTAAGCTCGGAGGATGGCTAATGCGGTATCACATAGTAAGCCATTTACATTCGTGTTTTGCTATCAGAGCTCTAATTCTAGATAATGATGCTCCTCTTTTAGTATCAAATAGTAGTATGTAGCATTTCCTTTGAAGGGTTTGGATCTGGAGAGTGTTGCATAAAGAACCACTGCAATTTTTTTTTTGCTACGTTTAGTTTTGTAACATTGCACTCGCACTTCTATATGAATTTTTTAGCAAACAATTTTAAGCATTTTTATAGTAGTTATCTCCTTGTGTCATTATACTTCCCTTCTGACCTTATGAGATAATATCTCCACTTTATAGCTAGGACAGCTTAGGGTGGGAGAAGTTAAGTACCAAGGTAATATGATAAATAATGGAGACCAGACTGGAATGGGGGGATCTCCTACCCTTCCTTTCGTTCCTTCATGAATGTGCTCAGTATAGGTTTAAACACACTGAGGTGAGAGATCCTAAAATTGAAGAAGATAAGGCTAGTTCTGAGAGAAACATTTTTAATGAAGAATATAAGAGGACCAGCTGTAATATTTAGTTCTGGTTGGGCAATCCCTTTAGATTAGTTTAATGAATAGAAGAGAAAAAAATTTCCCCAGGAGAATACAAATCAAGTTAATAGACATTGGTGAGAAAACTAACTTTTCATGGTAAGTTATAAAATTATGCAATTACGTCATTTGATTCGAAAGATGATAGCTTATACAGTGTTGAAAGGATTTTTTAAAATTTGGTAAATGATAAAAGTTGGCTTGTGTGCAAGTACAGGGAATGAACTTAAATTTTTTTAGAGCTGAATGAGCTTATATCATATTGAACTAGATGTTTATGAGACTATTTTTATAGTAATTTTTGTTCACATATCTTAGTAGAGACACATTTGTATATGATGTTAACCATTTTATAGTTTAGCATAGTGACCTCTTTATGAGCAAGTAGAAGAGTGTTAAGTTTTGTGATTACTTAATATTTAAATTTAAAAATAAGAAAAAGGAAATATTACTGCATTTTAAAATGCAAATCAACTCTTATAGGTTTAAGAATTTTCTAATATTTTAGAACTAACCTATTTATTTTTTTGTTAAAAAATAAGTTTTATGCTAAGTAGGTTTGGACACCTGCCCACATAGCATGGGTCATTTCTGGTAAGAAAGATTTAGGCCACTCATATACCTTGAATTTCTGCTTAGATTCCAAATGTGATTCAGATGTTTAACCAGTTCATTGAAATTTCTGAGTTTAAAAATGCATAGTTTTGTTCTTCAAGGGACTGTACCTTAGATAATTGTATATAGAAAGCTTTGAGAAACCAACATATAAAAATGTAAAGAAAATACAAGATTCAACATCAGTAAAACTTCATCTCCCCCCCCCCCTGCATTTTTGTTGAGATTAGCAGGATGATGGAAAGATTTCATTGTTTTCGTAGAGGTGGTAGCATGGCTTCCTGTGGGTGGGTGAGAGGGAGGGAGTGGGGAATGGCTGTGTTGTGTGCTTGAGGAACTGCACCTGAGCCCCCTGAACTGCCTGCCTTGGCTGAGATTCCTCATCCTGAGGAAGGAACAGAGCCTACAGCATTCAGGGAACTTGGAAGACTCTGGGAAGGTGGCAGTCTCATCTTCCTGTTTTCTTTGTTGTATCCCTAGTACCGTGAGTCAGAGTGTGGAATATAGTAGCTACTCAATAAATTTTCTTAATGAATGAGTGAATGAATGAATTCCACTGTAGATTTGCAAAGCGGGCAGTTCAGCAATAGCCAATGCGGCTTGGAGACCTGAGTGGTCTCTTTAAATGTTCTGCTGTTTATGAAACCTCTGGAACCTTTGTACAGCCCTGGATCTGTGAGATACAGAAGTAGGAATGTCAGCAATGACTGAAATTAAATTGTCCACCAAGCCAGTGGGATGGAGCATAGAGAATGATTTAACTTGATGTGGTGATGATGTGGGAAATTCTTACTCTTGAGTAAGATTTAGACCGTCTACACAGTCTAAAGATTTGAGTGCCTACTTTATTGTGTATGATAATTTCAACTAAAACTAAAAAAAAAACACTGCTTTTTTTTTTTAAAGATTTTTATTGGGGAATTGGGGATGGGAACAATGCTGGAGAATTGAGGGAAGGGGAACAGACAAGTTGCTGTC